CCACCAGTACCAGTAGTATATTGTCCTGACAAACCCATCATTACCACTGGTACATTGTCCTAACAAACCCACCAGTACCTGTAGCACATTGTCCTAACAAATCCACCAGTACCAGTAGTATATTGTCCTGACAAACCCACCAGTACCAGTAGTACATTGTCCTAACAAACACACCAGCACCAGTAGTATATTGTCATAACAAACCCACCATTACCAGTAGCATATTGTCCTAACAAACCCTACCAGTAGTATATTGTCCTAACAAACCCACCAGTACCAGTAGCATATTGTAGTAACAAACCCACCAGTGCCATTGGTATATTGTCCTAACAAACCCACCAGTACCAATGGTAGATTTTCCTCACAAATCCAGCAGTACCAATGGTATATTGCTCTAACAAACCCACCAGTAGCATATTGTCCTAACAAACCCGACAGTACTAGTAGTATAATGTCCTAACAAACCCACAAGTAGTATATTGTCCTAACAGACCCACCAGTAGTATATTGTCCTAAAAAAAACCACTAGTACTAGTGGTATATTGTCCTAACAAACCCATCAGTACCAGGGGTATATTGTCCTAATAAACCCACCAGTAGCATATTGTCCTAACAAACCCGAAAATACCACTGGTATATTGTCCTAACAAACCGACTTGTAGTATATTGTCCTAAAATGCCCGCCAGTACCAGTAGTATATTGTCCTAACAAACCCACCAGTACCAGTAGTATATTGTCCTAACCATTCCACCAGTACCAGTAGTATATTGTCCTACCAAACCCACCAGTACAAGTAGTATATTGTCATAACAAAACCACAATAACCAGTAGCATATTGTCCTAAGAAAACCCCCAGTACCAGTAGTATATTGTCCTACAAAACCCATCAGTATCAGTAGTATATTGTCCTAACAAACCAACCGAACAGTAGTACATTGTCCTAACAAACCCACCAGTACCTGTAGTAAATTGTCTTAACAAACCCACCAGTACCAGTGGTATATTGTCCTAACAAACCCACCAGTAACAGTAGTACATTGTCCTAATAAACCCACCAGTACCTGCAGTATATTGTCCTAACAAACCCACCAATACCAGTGGTATATTGTCCTAACAAACCCACCAGTAACAGTAGTACATTGTCCTAACCATTCCACCACTACCAGTAGTACATTGTCCTAACAAACCCACAAATGGTATATTGTCAGAAGAAACCCACCAGTACCAGTAGTATATTGTCCTAACAAACCCACCAGTACCAGTAGTATATTGTCCTAACAAACCCACCAGTACTTGTAGCACATTGTCCTAACAAATCCACCAGTACCAGTAGTATATTGTCCTGACAAACCCATCATTACCAGTGGTACATTGTCCTAACAAACCCACCAGTACCAGTAGTACATTGTCCTGACAAACCCATCATTACCAGGAGCATGTTGTCCTAACAAACCCACCAGTACCTGTAGTACATTGTCCTAACAAACAAACCAGCACCAGTAGTATATTGTCATTACAAACCCACCATTACCAGTAGCATATTGTCCTAACAAACCCTACCAGTAGTATATTGTCCTAACAAACCCACCAGTACCAGTAGCATATTGTAGTAACAAACCCACCAGTGCCAGTGGTATATTGTCCTAACAAACCCACCAGTACCAATGGTAGATTTTCCTCACAAATCCAGCAGTACCAGTGGTATATTGCTCTAACAAACCCACCAGTAGCATATTGTCCTAACAAACCCGACAATACTAGTAGTATATTGTCCTAACAAACCCACAAGTAGTATATTGTCCTAACAGACCCACCAGTAGTATATAATCCTAAAAAAAAACCACTAGTACTAGTGGTATATTGTCCTAACAAACCCCAAAATACCACTGGTATATTGTCCTAACAAACCGATTTGTAGTATATTGTCCTAAAATGCCCGCCAGTACCAGTAGATTATTGTCCTAACAAACCAACCATTACCAGTAGTATATTGTCCTAACAATCCCAACAGTACCAGTAGCATATTGTCCTAACAAACCCACCAGTACCAGTAACATATTGTCCTAAAAATCCCACCAGTAGCAGTAGCATATTGTCCTAATAACCCCACCAGTAGCAGTAGTATATTGTCCTAATAAACCCACCAGTAGCATATTGTTCTAACATAACTGACAGTACCACTAGTATATTGTCCTAAAAAAGCCCACTTGTAGTATATTGTCCTAACAATCCCAACAGTACCAGTAGCATATTGTCCTAACAAACCCACCAGTACCAGTAACATATTGTCCTAAAAATCCCACCAGTAGCAGTAGCATATTGTCCTAATAACCCCACCAGTAGCAGTAGTATATTGTCCTAATAAACCCACCAGTAGCATATTGTCCTAACGTAACTGACAGTACCACTAGTATATTGTCCTAAAAAACCCACTTGTAGTATATTGTCCTAACAATCCCAACAGTACCAGTAGCATATTGTCCTAACAAACCCACCAGTACCAGTAACATATTGTCCTAAAAATCCTACCAGTAGCAGTAGCATATTGTCCTAATAACCCCACCAGTAGCAGTAGTATATTGTCCTAATAAACCCACCAGTAGCATATTGTCCTAACGTAACTGACAGTACCACTAGTGTATTGTCCTAAAAAACCCACTTGTAGTATATTGTCCTAACAATCCCAACAGTACCAGTAGCATATTGTCCTAACAAACCCACCAGTTCCAGTGGTATATTGTCCTAACAAACCCACCAGTACCAGTAGTATATTGTCCTGACAAACCCAGCAGTACCAGTAGCATATTTTCCTTATATTTCCACTAGCACAAGGAGAAATCGTCCCCATAGCATCGCTAAAACTAGTGAAAATGGTACCCATAACACAACTGGTACAATCAGACATTAGAATGTGTCTGGTAGTGTTAGACATTGCCTCTAGAATCTCCCTGGTACTTGTAGAAAATCTCCATATTTTTACCATTCCTACTACAGACACTGTCTCTAGGATTATAGCACGTGCCTTGTGGCCGCGACTCCTGATGTCAAGTCTTCAAACCAATGCACCAGGGTGACCTCTCCCCCGCACTCCGCCGGTCTCCATCACACCGCGGCAAACACAATCCTAGCTAACTCCAAAATCCACCAAAGCTGTTAATTTATTCATTGATTTTTGTTTGAGCGCAGGTCCCTTTTCCAAATCGAATAAGAAAACTATTTATGAAGGGCTATATTAAGAAAGATGTTTTAAACGTTTGATAGTGGATCAGGCTTCTGAATATTAAGTATCTCTATAGCATCAGTCGTAAAGACACATTGCTTTTCCTAGTGCACCGCAGTGACATAACGCTGGATAGCTAGGAAAACAAGGCTCTAGTACAGAATTGTGACACATTCTGGAGAGACAGAAACACGCATGCGTGGCTCCAATTCATAGCTGTGACACAAGCTGAGGGCAAATGTAAACACGCATACACTGTTCAGTGTAATCATTTGACACATGCGAAGGGGAAATGTAAACACGCATGCGCTGTTATTGTGACATCTTAGGATGAAGAGACAGGTTGATATACACGGCAGTTCTCGTCAGGAGCAGACTGCACAGAACATTCTTTTATTCTGAGCAGTTGAGCTATTAATCAAAGGAGAAGCAGATGGATTGTTTCCTTTGCTGAGTTGAACTATTTTGTTTACCGGAGCAGTTGAATGGTTGTAGAATGGTTTTAAAAAATGTTCAGTGGTAATATTGTTTTCAGAATCCGTTTAAAGAAAAGATTGAGTGACAGTGTTATGATTAATGAAATAGTTAAATGGCTGTGTTATGATTAATGAACGAGTTAAATGACGGTGTTATGATTAATGAACTAGTTAAATGGCTGTGTTATGATTAATGAACTAGTTAAATGGCGGTGTTATGATTAATGAACTAGTTAAATGGCGGTGTTATGATTAATGACGGTGTTATGATTAATGAATTAGTTAAATGGCGGTGTTATGATTAATGAACTAGTTAAATGGCGGTGTTATGATTAATGAACTAGTTAAATGACGGTGTTATGATTAATGAACTAGTTAAATGGCGGTGTTATGATTAATGAACTAGTTAAATGGCGGTGTTATGATTAATGAACTAGTTAAATGACGGTGTTATGATTAATGAACGAGTTAAATGGCGGTGTTATGATTAATGAACTAGTTAAATGGCGGTGTTATGATTAATGAACTAGTTAAATGGCGGTGTTATGATTAATGAACTAGTTAAATGGCGGTGTTATGATTAATGAACTAGTTAAATGACGGTGTTATGATTAATGAACTAGTTAAATGGCTGTGTTATGATTAATGAACTAGTTAAATGGCTTTGTTATGATTAATGGAATAGTTAAATGGCGGTGTTTGGTTAATGAATCAATCAAATGAGTATGTTATGATTAGTAAAATGGCTATGCTATGGTTAATGTAAAAGTTAAATGGCGGTGTTCTGATTAACAAAATAGTTCAATGTCAGTGCTATGATTAATAAAATAGTGACATCGGGATGTTTTGATTAATGAAATAGATAAAGGATGTGTTATGATTAATGAAATAGATAAAGGCTGTGTTATGATCAATGAAATAGTTAAATGACTATGTTATGATGGATGAAATAAAAAATGGCGGTGTTATGATCAATGAAATAGTTAAATGACTGTGTTATGATAGTTGAAATAGTTAACTGGCTGTGTTATGATCAATGAAATAGTTACATGACGATCCTACAAGTGAACTAGTAAAATGGCGGTGTTATGATTTATGAAATATCTATCCGTCTGAATCTAATAGAAAGCATTTATTAGATTAAAGCTAGATTGTAGTTACCCCAAAATTACCTTTTTCTCTCTGTATCATAGCGAAAGTTTGAAATGTCCTTGAAAGTTTGATGTTATTAATTTCCCTTCAACTTGAATGCAAAATGTTATAAACTGTAATCAATTTCTATACGTATCTTCCTTTGTTTCAGGTTTGTGTACGCTTGTTGGAATTATACTTTACATAGGCAGCATTACAGAGGAGGTTGGGAATAAAGGCAAAGGCAACTCCATGGAAGATCCAAAATTTAAATATTTTTACGGATCGTCATTTATGATGGCTGTTTCGTCGTTTGCATTGACAGAGTTGTCGGGTGTATTTTCTGTGTACCTGTATATAACGCGCTATAAACACTCACAACGAAAGAAACTGCAGCAAATGTTAAAGAGCGAACAAAACGATAGAGGAAATAGATGGCGTTATAGGAAATCTCCGTCTCAGTCACGAGATCGGTCACAGTCCCGGGACCGCTCCGGCGATCCTTCTCTCAGTCGCTCCGAGAGTTATTACACCTACACACCAATATCGGAAACTACTTCTCATGAACTTTCTAATTATACATTTCCCAGAGAGGTTTCCGGCAATACCATATCAACGACTGTAGATACCCATGCTCCACGTGACCATGCATCACGTGACCATGCACAACGTGATCATATACCACGCGATCACATACCACGTGACTATCTACCACGTGATCACCTACCACGGGATCATCTACCACGTGACCATTATCCACGTGACCACAGCCAGCGTGACCATATACCTGTGCCAACAGATACGTATATGCGACGGACAACCCCTGTATAACATTTCAGGGGTAATATGAGGTATACCTCATATCTAACGTATGAAGGGTAATATGAAATATACCCAGTATTTAATGTTTAAGGGAAGATATGAGGTATACCCCGTATACGAGAAAAGCATATATGCTAAAAAGTGATCTGCGGCAAAGAAGATGGTGAAAGTATATACGTGAGAATGTATCAATTTATAATCCATTCATCAAATCATACATGTCTACGGCCTTACTGGATAAGTAGCGAGTGGTCCTAAATGTGTGTGATTGCATGAAAAGGTTGTATATGTGTTATACAGTCCGCTGTGTTCAATCTTAGTATGCAATTCATATATGGCATGGGTTGTACACATGTGTTGGCGGACATTTGAGAATTTTTGACTGTTAGTATACGTAGACCTAGATTAAATCCTTCTTTGCCAAGAATGAAGAGACAACGGATTAGGGTGGTATACCCTGGATGTTCTGACGTATTACGTCGTTAATGATGACGTGGTTATCTGAGACTTTGATGGCCCGACCTTGTTCGACAACTACGGTATCATTTGCAGAGAGTGGTAGTGGTTTCGTAAAGCTAGCGCCACAAGGGACGATTATATTGGTACCATGATCCCGCAGGACGGCGCGGTACCATAGGCATTGTGCATATTTTTCTGCTGAAGATCCGTACCATGAATGTGTCCCAGAGTTTGTAAAGGATCGGCCCGGTACCATGGTGTGAAGATTCGTTATAGTGATGGCCCTCTTAAAGGCATTGTATTGAAGACCTTGTTTGACGTACGGATGGTAGATATGTTGCAGACCAGCTCTAAAAGCAGCTGGTAAACACGCTGTATATCAGATCTAGAGACGAAATGGTAGACGTTGCAGAATTGTCTGGAGATGGGATGGGAGAGACATGTTGCATTTCTTACGTAGAGAGGAGATGGTAGAAGACATATTGAAGAATCGTGTGGAGATGGTATTGTAGACATATTGCAGATATAAAGTGGGCCAAAGACAATGATAAACTTTTGAATTAAGGACTGGGTGGTTAACATATAAGAAAAAGTTGGTGGAAAGAACGGACGTGGTTTGTTGTATGACATAGATAAGTTTGTGGGACGAACTTGTGTGATGCAGATTTGTTGGTGGGACGAGCTAGAATGATACAGATTTGTTAGTGGGACGAACTTGTATGATGCAGATTTGTTGCTGGGACGAGCTTGAATGTTACATATTTGTGAATGAGACAGGCTTGTGTGATACAGATTTGTTGGTAGGCCGAGCTTGTATGATACAGATTTGTTGCTGGGACGAGCTTGAATGATACATATTTGTGAATGAGACGGGCTTGTATGATACAGATTTGTTGGTGGGACGAGCTTGTATTATACAGATTTGTTGGTGGGACGAGCTTGTATGATACAAATTCGTTGATGAGACAAGTTTGTATAATAAAGATTTGTTGGTGGGACGAATATAGAAGAGCACCCATATCTGTCCACGGCAAAATGAAAAAAAAATGAAACGTATTTATTTTGAATATAATATTGATATTGTATATATAGAATACAGGTAATACTGAAGGACTTACGACAAAGTGATTTTATTTTGTATAGAAATCAGGAGATCATGTTGAAATCATACAGCACTAAAGCTGGCATTCTACACCATGTTAATTAATCAGCTGTAGTAGTCATACGTTTTAATTGATTGCGATTTCAAATTAATTTCTTCAAGTCATGATTTGCTACCCATCTTTAAATCATTGGTCATCATCTATACAGAATGAACGATGATACGAGCAAAACGTATTGGTTAGTGTTCTCAAGTAAACACATAGTATTTTGCTCTACGTTGTGGGACATTTGAAGTAAGTCCTGTACAGTAACTGTTCTACACGATAGTTAGGACAGACATGAAATGAGAGATTTACTGTCCTACATGTATTCAATAGGACAATTCGAGTGATTTTATTACTGTCCTACAGCGTAGTGCATTAGAATGAGCATGTTACTGTCCTACATTTTAGGACCTTTCGAGTCTACTGTCCTATATTGTAGAATGTATGGAGTTAGCATGTTACTGTCCTATGTTGTAGGACATTTGGAGTATGAGACTGTCCTATATTATAGGATATGTGGAGCGAGTTTGTTACTGTCCTACACTGTAGGCCGTTGTTAGTACGTCACAGTCCTTCAGTGAGGATATTGGTAGTTAATATGTTATTCTCCTACACTACAGGGCATTTGGAATGAGTATATCACTGTCCTACATTGTAGGACCTTTTTAATGAGTATATTACTATCCTACATTGTAATACATTTTAGTGAGTATGTTTTACTGTCCTACATTGTAGAACATTTGGAATGAGTATGTCACTGTCCTACATTGTAGAACATTTGGAATGTGTATGTCACTGTCCTACATTGTAGGGAATGAGTATGTCACTGTCCTACATTGTAGGGAATGAGTATGTCACTGTCCTACATTGTAGAACATTTGGAATGTGTATGTCACTGTCCTACATTGTAGAACATTTGGAATGTGTATGTCACTGTCCTACATTGTAGGGAATGAGTATGTCACTGTCCTACATTGTAGGGAATGAGTATGTCACTGTCCTACATTGTAGAACATTTGGAATGTGTATGTCACTGTCCTACATTGTAGAACATTTGGAATGTGTATGTCACTGTCCTACATTGTAGGGAATGAGTATGTCACTGTCCTACATTGTAGGGAATGAGTATGTCACTGTCCTACATTGTAGAACATTTGGAATGAGTATGTCACTGTCCTACATTGTAGGGAATGAGTATGTCACTGTCCTACATTGAAGGGAATGAGTATGTCACTGTCCTACATTGTAGAACATTTGGAATGTGTATGTCACTATCCTACATTGTAGGGAATGAGTATGTCACTGTCCTACATTGTAGGGAATGAGTATGTCACTGTCCTACATTGTACTGTCCTACATTGTAGAACATTTGGAATGTGTATGTCACTGTCACTGTCCTACATTGTAGAACATTTGGAATGAGTATGTCACTGTCCTACATTGTAGAACATTTGGAATGAGTATGTCACTGTCCTACATTGTAGAACATTTGGAATGAGTATGTCACTGTCCTACATTGTAGAACATTTGGAATGTGTATGTCACTGTCCTACATTGTAGAACATTTGGAATGTGTATGTCACTGTCCTACATTGTAGAACATTTGGAATGTGTATGTCACTGTCCTACATTGTAGAACATTTGGAATGTGTATGTCACTGTCCTACATTGTAGAACATTTGGAATGAGTATGCCACTGTCCTACATTGTAGAACATTTGGAATGTGTATGTCACTGTCCTACATTGTAGAACATTTGGAATGAGTATGTCACTGTCCTACATTGTAGAACATTTGGAATGTGTATGTCACTGTCCTACATTGTAGAACATTTGGAATGTGTATGTCACTGTCCTACATTGTAGAACATTTGGAATGAGTATGTTTCTGTACTACATTTTAGGACATTTTAAGTGAGTATGTTTTACTGTCCTACACTGTAGGTCATTGGTAGAGAGTACGCATTTGTCTTACATTGTTTGACAATGTTAATAAGTTTATTATTTACTTCTACACCGAATGACGAGTGATAGAACGATTAACGTACATCAGCTTAAACATGAAAAGGCAAAACATTTGTTTATCTGAAACATCGAACTGGTCCCTGGTCTACATGGTAACATGGTCATCATCATCACGTCATACACTCATGTTGTTTATCATGCGGAAAGTTATAGTGTTGTATAAAGAAACGGACAACACTTATTGTTAAATATAGATATATAAATATGTATATATAGTTATTGAAATTAATACTTCGTAAGTATATTTTTCACGCTTGACTAGGTCGTGATTCAGTATTACTTGTGGTAGTTAACTGTGTTGTCACGTGCTTTTTGTTAGACTCGGCTTATCGTAAGCCGTGCCTCTGATTGGTGTATTTTAAGTGTAATTTTATTTGTATAAATTAGACTTTTCTTTATGTACGTTATAGCAAGTTTAATACAGACGTCTAGTTTTATGTAATGACGTCATTCGAATCTGGTTTTACGTGTTTGTGAGCACTCGAATTTTGGCGCAGAGCGCCACACGGGGTGATATATCGTATTTGGCAATGCACCGTTTAAGAAGTGATGCCGGATGAATGTTAGTCTGTATCTAGATTTATGTAGTAAACCATTTAGTCGTCCTATATACATATCAAATTGGTAACGTAGCGTTTGCTTTATATTCTTCAATGCTACGACGATGATTTCTATGTTTAGTTTAATATATACAGTATCGTTACTTATATCATCTAATGTCATCAATTGTCAGGGTTCCATGTTTATCCTCGTGCTACAACATATGACGTCAGCATTAACACATATTGTATTATCTACTGTAGTTCCAGGATCTCGTCCCCATTACCGTAAATACTTGTATGACTGGGCTTCGGGATCTTTTTTCATTATTTGTTCCACACATATCAATGGGCATGGTCATTGATTTGATACATTTAGATTGTTCATAGTTTTTGCATTTAAACCATGTTGACCAGGGATGCATGTATATATCATTACCTTCATCTCAAAAGGGTACTCACGTGATCATCAGAATTAAACACGTGTCCCATTCTGAACGCTCCAACAATATAATGCGCCATTTCGAAAACCCAACGTACGTAAAACACAGCGTCCTGGCCGATTTTGTATAAACAGTGGAAGAGAAACATGAGTATTCGGGATAAATTTGTATATTTTTTACTTTTGTTTAATGTTGTGAGACAGACCGATGAGAGAACACGGGTGTAAGTAACAGTGCTCTACTGAACACTACTTTGGGCTTGGAAATGGCTCGTTTGTGGAGTATCTATCAGTATTATAGTGTGTCGCGTTGGCGTGCGCAACAACGCAGTCCCATGTAGGTATCAACAATGTCTCGTTACAACTTAACAAACGTTTTAGATGTAATTGTTGTCTCG